AGAGAGAGAGAGAGAGAGAGAGAGAGAGAGAGAGAGAGAGAGAGAGAGAGACGACACGGTGAAATAAAGCACTCATCATTTTTTGGACTTTCGGAGTTGTTGGTATAACCTAAAAGAAAGTTAAAGCTTGTTTTTGTCTTTGTTCTGATAGAAAGAATGCCCATTTATTTTGGTTACAGTTGAAGAAGGTGGGATTCGCAGGGTGTTAGGGGTAAAGTAGGCATGGGTTTATCGCCCCTATCATGATATCAACACTATTCGGTTATTTAAGACCATCTCCGATAGGACCGAGCCGGTTGGGTTGAGAGCCTGGAAAACTCCACAAAACGATCCGAATTCAAGAACGTCCAGTCTGGGATTCGAACCACGGCCATCCGCTCCGTTGTCCAGCATGATACCAACTGAGCTAACGGCCGGAGCGCCTGTATCAGGGGTAAGATAAGCGAGCAAAAAAAGCAACCAAATTTGATGACTCTTAGAGCCTGAGTGTCCTTGGAAACTGCACCTTTACTTTTTTGTGTGCATTTATTGATCAACATTTTCTTAGTAAAATCCATATAGAAATGTATTCCAAAATGAACTAAAAAGGTGTTGAGTAAAAATGATAAAAAATGATAGGCCTATACATTCTGTGGCAAAATATATGAATATGAACGAAAAAGAGAAAGAACGTATGAGCTCGGAAAGATATATTCTTGAACCACACAAAAATAGCAACAGTAAAAAAAACAATGTGAAATATATAAAAACAAAACCTATAAGTCATCTGTTTGTTCATAGGAATGTACAGGTTTAATGTTGGAGAATATAGCTAAAACAATGAAAAGCAAATACATTGATTTGACTGTGCGCGATGGTATTAAAGGCTTTTGGTTCTACTTCTTTACTATCTCTCTGTTGTTTCTGTTTGGTTGTTTTTGCCATGTCAAGCACTACGTGATCATTGATGTATCATTGCGCATCCTCTTTTCCCACCCTAAAACTCTTATAAACTATAATTTAAAAAGCCCACGTTCCCATGTATTACAACGATGTAAACGATTATGGCTGACAGTTGCAGAAGAGTCTCCGTTATGCGCCATTTTGGAAGTCACATTAACAGAAAGAAGTTTGTAAGAGATGTTCAAAGCATATATATTAACCGAGACTACCAATACAATACTCTCTGGGTAACTCTCTAAAGACTTGTCCACAAAGATCCACACACACCGTTGTTAAAATGATTGTTATCTTTGTTGAAACAAAGTTTTTGTATTGTTCCCCCCAAAAAACGTCTTTTGATTTTTAAAACAATTTATACTCCTCATATACAAAATAACATCAAACACGCAATGTTATAGATGTCGCCTTTAATGTGTTAAAGAAAATTATTAATTTTATTTCTGCCCCTCCCATAGAGGAATGAGCTAGATAGAATTCTGCACGCTTTGATAGTAATAGAATTTGTCATCAGTAGTATGATTTTCTCTGCATTCATGTTCGCATTTTTAGTAAAGTGGGAATCTAACAATACTGTTTGGTAGAAATAGAATGAACTGATGAACACTGTTCAATGAAATACCGTTTAAATGTAAGAAAAAAAGTCGATGAATATCGTAATTATTTCACTTTTATTATCCATTTAATTAAATGTTAAAAAGAAGAATTTGTGTCACAAGTTAATGAACATTTGGTAACGTTGTGGTTGGTAAGGAGAAACATAGATAAATATGCGACAGAATTGAACAACAATACATGACCAATGGGAACAAAATATTGGTTATAATTACGATATCACAGCCTTAGATACGGGGTGCTGTTATTTCTTCTCGAGTTTCTTCTGTTAGAAATCTGGGTGATCACTAAAACACTCGTACAATCTCACATTCATAAGAACACGCTAACATAAACACACACACACACACACACACACACATGCACACACACACACA